ATGTGTTATGAATGATATTTATTATGCAGCTGTTAACTCTAGAGAGAGCCATGTTTTTGTTTTGTTTATTAGTTTGGCTGTAAGAAAGCATTACCTGGATAAAACCATCACCTGGATAAAAACAAAGCTTTCTGTGGGGACAACACTAAACTTCCATCAAGAAAGTTTTTGGGGGTCCAGTGAAGAGATTATGGACAAAAGAGAAAAAAAAAAATAAAAATCCTATTAATCCTATGGAAGAAAAGCAAGATCTCAGTAGTTACAATAATGTCCCTCTTACAAGAGGTCTCCCTTAACTTGTATTCTGACCTTCCTGGTATATATTGAGGCTTGAATCCATGCCTGACTGATTAAGGATCCCATGTCTCCAGATTTACCAAAAGCTGCCTTTCCCCCTCACTATAGTGACCATGTCATCCTATCCCTTCTCCTCTTTTTGATATTCCTTGACAGCTTCAAGAGGCCTATGGTTCCTCTGGAAATAGGGTCGAGGCACTTCTGCACTCTCAGATAGTTTTGTGGGAAACGGAACATTTTTCTACAGTTAAGTCCTTTTACTGTAGGAGAGTCTTTCCAGGCAATTCAGATCAATTCCTTCAGCCCACTAATAACACTTATCAGGTCGTCCCTTATTATGTTGTTTGTAGGGTGCCCAGCACAATGAAGCCTTACATTTATTGGGACTTTTGATGTCATATTATTGTAGAAATAATTATTAATAATGGAAAACAGGTTGAAATTATTCATGAATAACCTGTTATGAAGTTGATTTAGTGTCTGGAAAATCCTGACTTGCATACCCAATTAATTCATACACTAACTCAACATTCAAGTGACAGAGTTTTCATCAAAAGCTCTCTGCACCTCTGCTTTCCTCTGACTGTGGCTGAGCCTAACACTCAATTCAGCAGGCAAGAGGGTTTTCTGCACTGTTCCAGCTCAGTGATCTCATGACACTCACCTTAACTAGTTTCTTGTATCAAAGATTGACTCAACTGAGCATTTTCAGGAAGAAAACTGAAACACAGGGAAGGGTCTCTGGGGCAGACTGACGACACATCCTGGCAGTCCATCATGCTTACCCAGGAAAATTGAGGATGGTTTATACTTGTCCACAGCCAGCTAATAGATGCTTACAGACTCTGACCCATGCCTGTTTTCTGTGACTGTCTCCATTTATTCTTGGACCTATAAAGGACTGAGGTGTAGGGTAAGCCTTTTGACTGCTTACACACTTGGCTTTCAGCATGTGAACCATTTACCTGGTAGAATAGATGAGCCCATGGCTACTTGTCACTCTTCTTTCTTTTTATCAACTAGATCCCCCTGGCATGAGAGCACCCAAAGTCACTATCCTCCCTCACAAAACTTGGGGCCAAAAAGTCCATTCCTCTGGCTGGTTGCAAACTTAAGGAACCTAAATGGGTTAAGTGTCAAGCCCTTACATTCATTTCTCTTCCCTTGTTCATTTGGTCACATCTCTGACATTACTGACTGATGTGGGATTGTCTGCACATTCAGAGCTGACAGCCAGGTTACTTTTTGACACCCAGGAGGAATTTAATTGCTTTTTTATACACTGATTGCAGTGTAGAGTGTGCCCTTGGTAGCAATAAGAGCTTCAGGATAAAATAAAAAGCCAAGGTATAAAAATTCCTGCAGCCAGCATGAAAGCAGAGACAAAGCCTCATCTTTCCTTTTTTTTTTTCCTCTAAGATAAGGCATTTTGCTGTGTTATTCAGGAAACAGAAATCTTCTGTATGTACAGATCTAGGAAAATACTTTCATTTTGCCAGAAAAGGATATAAGAAGGGTAAATATGAGATGCAGTTAATGGGAGACAGTACATGTATGAAGGCAAGCTCTGGTATTTAACGTTCGTTCCAATTTAGAGATATTTGTATGGATAAATTTCCAATGTTTGTGCCATCTCTATCCATTTATTTTATGTACTGTTCAGTGTCTATTTCTGAAATCCTTCCCTGCTATTTCGTCTGGCCTTACCCACCTGAAAGGTCGATGCTTAAGCTAATTGCCTTGAATATCTCTAGCTCTGGACAAGGCAGACTCCCTATGGAAGTGTCTGCCTCCCTTATCATTTTCCTGCAGCAAGAAGTTCTTCAGACCTCATGCCTATCATTAGCTGAGGCAGACCTCATCACAACCACATAAAATATCATACACTATCAGCTCTAGTAATCTGTTTCTTGCAGTGACATGTTTTCCAGTCTGTTTTCCAGTGGTGACGCGGGCCACTTTCTCAGTGCCCTATCCTCAAATAGCTGAGTAGCAGGTAGAAATTGTTTTTCTCAGGCCCCTTAAAAATATGCAATTTTTCCACGAAAGGAAGTAAGAATGACTAGAGATTGAGCTTAACTGATGGTATGACTGGGAAGCTGTCCTTATAACTGCCCTACATGGTACAACGACCCTGGCCTGGAGTAATTAATTTACTTCCAATGTCAAAGTAATTTGTTGCAGCTGCTGAGCAGTCCAAACTACACAAGCACTATTATAACTTAGGATAGTTGGTGTTACTAATGTTGAATTGTATCATATTTCTTACTGTGCTTCTAAAGCTGAAGATAGATATGCGAACAAGAGAAAAAACATCTGAAGTTGTATTCAAGTTCTCTGTTAAATAACATGTAAACTTTGAAGATCTTATCACACGCATATACATATGCGTGTGTGTGGGGTGTGTGTACACCCACGTATATGTGGTGCTACATAAATAACAGATAGAAATGGACCATATTTGCTTTCTTTTCTATGAAAACAGGCAGTAGAAAGAGGAAAATAAGGTGAAGATTTTAAAATAATTAAGAAAAAAATATCCCCTAACCTTTTCTTCTGTTACCTGACCTTGGTTTCCACAGAAACAGGATCAGACACATCAGTAGCAAGAAGACCTCTCACTTAAAGGTGTCACCTACAGAGAGTAACTGGTACCCAACACAGACACACTCCCCAGCATGAACACTCTGAGAGCTCAAAGTGTCGATGCACGTCTGCTGTCAGTGGTTTGAAGCAAAATATTAAACTTTCAAAGGAAGAACAGGAGGACCAGACCCTCTGCCCTCTGTAAGTCAAGTTTCTTAGACATAGTTCCTGCTAGGCAGGAGAAAAACATAGGTGCCTAACACCATCAGTTACTTTGGGTTACTTTGGTTTCATATCATATCAATGTATCTGTATCTATATCTATATCTGCATCTCTCAAATTTACACCAAAAGGGCAAGGTCTGTTTTTGTAAGCAGAAAATCACATGCTGCAAAGCTGAGTTGCTGTTGAATAAGCTGCCAAAATCCTTGGAAGGGTCCTGCACTGAGGCAGGATATGGCTATGGAAACATCTCACCCAGCTGTAGCAGTGACTAAGTCTGGGGTCCCATCAATAGAATGTTCTACAAGCAGGGAATGAACACTGTCATAGCCTCACTGAAAGCAAGCCAAAAAAGAAGCCATTTTCCATAAAATCCTGGCCACATATAAGCGGCTGACCCTGGGTACATCATTTACTTCAAATTCTTATTGATCCTGTCTTCCTGTGTTCTGACTCACTAGGGCCATCCATCCACTGTACCCCAATGTCCCTGACTCAGACCTGACTCTCATGGCTCCTGTTCATGCTCAGATTTTTCCCATCCCAAAAGTAAATCTTGCTCAAGAGTAACAGCATTACAAACAGAACTCTGTTACTTAATTAAAGTATGGAACCGATTACTTGTAATGATGTCATCAAAAGGCTGTTTGCTAAAGTACAGAACTGGAATAATTTACATAGAAAAGATTAGAGATGGACCACAAATAACCCACAAACCCACAGTCTTTTTTGTTTCATTATAAAACAATAATGGAGTCAGTTGTTGGCATCAGAGTTATTGACAATACAGATACATATCAAGCTTATTATTGAACCTGACATTCCCAGTTTATTTTCCCTTTTGATTTTTTTAACACCCTATGTTTCTTGTTTAACAAATTGTTCTCAATATGACGTATTCACAATAAGCCCATAAGCACAAACTGAAACACAATTTCCTGCTAGCTTCAGTAGAAATACATTAATCCACTGGATATTTCCCAGGACAATATTATCTCTCATGTGCAGGCTATATTTCTCTCATTCAGCTGCAAAGGAGAGAACAAAATCCTTGAAAATCTGTTTGAAAAGTGACATGCAAGAAAGTCATAGGTAAACTGCCTCTTGCTCATGTGAAGACTTTCCTATCTATCTATCTATCTATCTATCTATCTATCTATCTATCTATCCATCCATCTCTTGTCATCCATCTTCGTTGTAGCACATCATTTACTAAACCCCTCCCTGAACATGACAGTGAAGTTAAACAATGAAAGAAAGGCAAGAAGGTAGTTAGGCTGCTGTACTGATTGCTTTGAAATGCTATTGTCATCTGTTTCTAACTGCTTTGTATCACAAGAACACAATTTGCGTATCAGGAAAGGAAGACTTACTGTCTGTGTCATTTAAGGACAGACATCTTTTAAATACCTACTGCTGTTATTCACCCTCACATTTTCAAGGCCACACACGCTGCCATACATTATAAAGATGCAATATTAAATGCTACCAAGACTCTAGGTGTGGTTGATTACCGGCCTTTTATGACCCACAAGGCTAAACCATTAACTTGTTCTTCACTGTCTTGTCAGCTGGCAATGAGAAATGCTTTCCTCCAAAACAAATAAAAAAGAAAACTAGTTTAGAACTTAGAACTTACTTAGAATAAGTTCTAAAGACTAAGGAGATTTCCCCACTTTTTCCACTCTTCCTCTTCCTTTTTCTCCCATCCCCTCCTTTACCCCCACCCTGTAGGAAGCTACCTGGTTTAAAAGTGGGTATGGAGATCCTCCCGTCCTGCTGATAGCTAATTACAGCAGAAAGCGAACTCTGTGATCAATCCACTGCAGAGGCTTGGTTTGACTCTACTTGATTTGTGTGGTAGAAAGAAGATCAGTAGTTACGTGAATTCTTTTTGTCCCCTGCCCTTGATTCAAGCATCCCTAACAAGTCAGCCTTTGACATTTCAGGGTAATAGATGGGTTTAATTAATGCTTAATCAAACCACTCACCCATTCCACTAATAAGCACCTCTGTCTTCCTCAGTCCTTGCAATAGGATTGTGGTTTCAGAGGCACTACCATCAGCAACAGGTGAGTGCTTTTGTTTTTCCAACTAGGAAGTATTCGTGTGTCTATCTGAACAGAAAATACTTTAATCTTAAGAGGTAAGGGCCATCCAAAATAAGCTCCTTTTCACTATGGAAATAATTTCTCTAGGATAGGAACTAAAACATTTATTTGGTTGATGGTGTACAGACAGGAAAATCCCAAGCATAAATAGAAGACTTGCTGCTGAATAGAAATAGAAACCAGAAAACTTGAAAGGAGTGCATATTATGGCATTGATCTTGAAACTGCCTCTGAAGGACTGGCTTTTGCATGTATGTGAAACTGTATGAATGCACACAGGCTCTCCTATGAAGATCTGTAGAGGAAGGTTTGGAAGTGAGAGTGAAAGGTGTTAGAGAGATGAACACAGCAATGTGGTTCTGCATAGGTGGTTTTGTCTTTGACCATAGCTAGAGCTTTGGGTGCTTTGAAGAAAAAGGGCTTAAAAGTTCTGATTTGGAAATGCATCTAAACTGAACTTTCAGGCTTGGCAAGCAGAGAGGATTTGTCCTTGGTTTGGGAAGAACAGCCCTTGGAACTCCAGAGGGAGAGAGCAGAAAAACAGATGGAAGGAAATTAATTCAATAAAAATAAATTAGACCTTTTAAACAGTATTGTTTTTAATATTTATGATGCAAAGAAGATTTGCATTTTTCTGTCAGTAAAGTATATGTCTCCATTTGACCTTCACTCCCTAAGTGAATGCTTTATTTAGCCTGAATGGCAGACATTTTTCTGTGTTTTCATGGACATTTTGAGAAAACCTGGATGCTGCTATTTTTATTTTTAAATTCACATTGTAAAATGATCCTTGATGATAAGAAAATGGTAATATTTGCTCATACTACATGACTGGATCAAAGTAGCCAATGATCTGTATCTGGGTTGCTACAGCGTGATGTATTATACTTCATACGATTTGCTGCAGGCAGAAATCTTAATTAAGGCCTTTCCTAAAGAGTGACCTTCAGGGACTGCATTTTTGAATTGGTGTAAAAATAGATAAATGCCCTAACAGCATTAGGGGAGCTGTAGAAAAGTACATTTCTCCATCTCGTCTACACAAACAATGATTATTTGCTGCTATTACCAAATGAGTTGTGAGGCATTTTCAGCAAACAATCAGCGTTAATGTGTGCAGAAAGAGATTTCAACCTGATGTGCAGAGCTCAGTTACACTGCTTCTCCTTCACTTTCAATACAAGTCGCACGTATAATTTGAGAATATACTCCCCAGGGCTCTACTCATCCATATTCTACCACGCTCATGGATATTCACTGTTTTGGGGTCCCTCTAATTAGCTTGCCACATGTGGTGTCTTCCTCAGCTTTCATCAACAATCCCCTTACCCAGCAAGCAGTAGCATCTGGGTGGGTATGGCTGGGCAAGAAGGGATTGTAGAGAGCAGTTAGGAGCAAATTAACCCTACTCACAATAGTTTGTAACAGTAGATACAGCGATGGGGGTTGCTAGTGCATACAAGTACCTCCAGGCTGGTTTGCTATGAATTTGCAGCTGAAATATCCTTAGGATGCCAGACAAGGGATTTTCTTTTTTCTTCCACCAAAATCAACTTGCTGAACCTCATGGTAGTTTTGTGCTGTGGTCACACAGGCTGAAATAAGACCACCAGCTTCACCACCTGCTGTGGATTCAGGCTTGGATATGATCTCCAGAGACAATAGGAGAAGACGTAGTGCAAGCACTCCTAGACCCTCCACAGGGCTGTGGCATGTCACAACACACACTTTCTCAGTGGTGTCAGTTCTGGGCTGGCTTTTCTGATGTCCCCAAAACTGCTGCCTCAGCTGAAAAATTTTGGTGCCTGGTTGAGAACACCATGTATCAGATAAGGAAAGCCGATTTCAGTTGCCGTAAGTTGAATAAGGCACTTAAATTTTGAAGATGAAATATGCTTTCAAAGTAACTTTTGAAAAGCTTCTGACATGAGTTATCCCCACCCTGCTCTACAATGCAGCTTTTTTCACAGGCAAAGATGAAATGAAATAGCTGCTGGAGCTTATAGAGAACTCTTGTCAAAGTCAGAGCTTTTGTCTGCTTTTTTTTGACAAGCAGAAAAACCCTGGCTTTTTAAAGCTAAAGCCTATTGTGAGAGACACAAACCAGACTCTTGGCTAGACTCACCCGGACTATTTCTACTGAAATAAGACTGTGCTATCAGTTTACACAAGCCAAGGAACTGGCTGTACCAGGGAGGACAATGTGCTTGCAGGGAGTGCAGAAGCCCAGGAAGCAAGGGCATGGCACACATGGAGGAACCTGAGCTGCCCGACGGGCCAAGCTCCACCCCATCCCCCCATGGGGATTCACTGGGCACTGTTGTCACTGGTGGGACTGGTGGGACCAGCCAGCAGGTGGTTCTCAAAGCACTGCACAGTGTGATGCCGGTGTTGATGCAGCACCAGATCTTGTCCAAGCCATTTGCATGAAATGTGCCTAACAGCCCCTGCTCATAGTTCTTACCATCATGCTTTCCAGTAAACAAATGTTCACTTGCAGGTCCCAGAGTCTCCAGCTTGATAGGGCTCACCCCTGGCATGGCAGGGACACTGTGGCAGGTGGGACAATTTCTCTTTTTATTCCCAGTTCTGTTACTCCTCTTCAAACGTGATCTGAGGAAAATGACCTCATCTTGCTGTTACACTTTCCCAACCTACAAAACAGAGCTAATTTTGCTTGTCTGAGGGGAGCAGAGAAAGGCCAAATGCTTGCCAAAGAGCTTAAACTTGTTCAGATGCAAGGTGCAACAGATGCACAGGACGATGACAGCAGACCTTCCCTCTGAAGCATCACACCACAAAGCCTGCTAGCAGTCCCAGTAACAGACGGGAAGCCATCCATGCTGTCCTGTGACATCCCTTCCCTCCTGCTATCGCAAGAGGCATGGGGTCAGTGCTCCAGCATGACTAGAGTGCCGTGATCTCACACCGCCTCCTCCACGCGCTGTGCTGTACCCAAAACAGCTTCTCGGGCTGAGTTCCAGGCTGCTTGGCTGACAGAGCCCAGAGCTAAGGAAAAATAAGTAATGAAGCAAAGAGACAGCTCACTCTAAGCCTCACACGTCGTCGAGGAGATAACAGCCCAATTCGTATAAAGATCTGTGCTGAATCATTTGCCACATCAGTATCAGAAGCTCTCAGCTTCATTCAGTGGCGCTCTCATCCAAACTGAATGCAAGATGACAGTGTTAATACATCAGCGCCTGCAAAGGCAGCTGTAACGAAATCTGTCAGTGTTGCCCCTGCACCAAACACTACTTGAAAAAGCAGATGTGTAGCTCAGATTCAGTTTATTACTGTCTGAACCTTCCTCACTTGCAAAACCAAAGTGTGGTTAAGAGGGAAAATCCCTTGCTACTGAAGGTTGCAGTAGCTGTTGTGTGTAGCTGTTGTGTTCCCAGCACAGTGGGAACACTATCCGGAGCCTGCTGTATTATTATTAATTATTATTATTTATTATTTATTATTATTTATTATTATTATCTGACAATAGTAATAATATCAAATTTTGAAGACCCAAAAATATTTCAAGGTGTTTTAAAAGAGACCTCATAAAATCAAAATAGCCAGACTTTCTGCTATTACAGTGTTTGGACAGTATGGTACCCCTTGGAGAGCAGAGCCACGCTACCTGTTAAAGCAGTATGCTGCGGCTCAGAGCTATGCCAGTTTTACTCTGTGCCCCGGGCAAGTCACCTTAGGTAACACTTTCATAATTGTGCAGTGCTTTCAGAGCTTAAATGCCATTTTCAGCACCTAATCCTACTGACTGCTAATAACATACAGGCTTATATATGCTTAAGTCATTTCTGAAAATGAGATAAAGTCTCCTAAATAATTTTGGAACTTTCAAAATGAATGAACTCATCTGAGCTAGTTACTCTGTGTTTCCTTTACAGTTACTGAACAGAAGCAGGACTTAGGTGTAACACAACCCATCTGTCTTCCCTGAGATCCTTTGCATTGTCTCCTGCATGAGGAAGAAACAACACAGGCACTAGAAATGCCAGATTCTCTTCACTGATTCTAGACAGCTCCAGTGGTGAAGTCTCTACTGTAGCATCTAATATTAAGCTAACTGCACTCATACAACTTGAGTCCTGCTGTGCAAGAAAGATAACAACACATCCCATCCCCTTAGCAAGACTGCTCTCTGCTAAAGCCTGTCCAGCCTTGTAAGTCTGCACCATGAACACAGTATGCTACAGCCTTGTTTCATGTTCTCCAGGTTGCAACACTCAAAAGCAGCATAAACAAGTCCTAAGAAGACAGCTGTCAGACACTGAGGAGTACGAGATGTTTTGTCATCCCAGCCTACACTCTTACTACTTTTTTCCATGGGAGAGACACAATTGCAAGCAAAAGAACCTGCCAGACTGTAGAAACATTCTTTTCCCTTCTCCTGACCTTACAAGGCAAAACAAAGTCTCCAGCAGCTCCCCTGTGCTGCTGAACATGAAGAAAACCGTTCTGTTGGCCAGTCTGCCTGTCCTTTGCAATGTGTGAGGAAAGCCTTGCTCTCCATCCTGAGCAGAGCTGATATGCAGAAAGATAAAAAGCCTTTTCTTCTCATGCTTTGTGTATTCTGGTAATTACAGCGAGTCAAATGGATGCAAGTAGAGGGCTCTTTTGGTAATTGCCTATCTCTAAGGTATAAAACGATATATTACATTCTATCTACAAATTAGGATTCAAAAGCAAAAACGTGTGCAATTTTGATTTTAATTGCATTTTTACTTCAAACATCTATTTTTCTCCCTGGTGCAAACAGACCTGAGCAATCTTGCAGAGATCAACAAAATCTTCCACAAATGCCAGGCATTTCTCTCGTGGTGGTTCTTGGCTCTCTAAGCATTTAATTTGCTAACTTTGACAGAAAGAGCTGTCTCACTTCTACAGCCTGCTTATTTTTAAATCAACAAATATTTACTATACACTGCATTTTAAAGGATACAATTATTAGTATACCTCTGTTTGATTACCAGTGACACAGTAATAATACCAGCAGCTGCTGAATTGTAAGTGAAAATAACCCTTTGTTCTCATTTTTCTTATCTGCAGACTATAACAGCACTCATGGGGACAATAACCTATGAAATAGATTAAAAGCCTGTTAAATGCTATTTTCAGCTTGGCAGATCACCAAACCCTAGCTTACCCTTACGCTCTGCTTCCTTTTAAATATTCCTTTTAGTATAGCCACGTGACAGCAGTAATGTGTAGTTTTACAGTGATTAACTAACTGCACAAACAAGAGGTTTTAGGTTTATAAACTGAGTGGCGCTGCTCTCACAGACTGCGCTGCACCAAAGACAGCAAGGCTTCTGGAAGATGCTGTAATGGTCTAATTTGCCAGTTTTCCCTTTTGCCTAATGACTTTAAACTAAAGAAGGAGATACTGTCGGTCTCCTATTTCTGGCAGGCAGCGTTGAACACCCTCCTTTGTCTCCATCCCCTGTTTACAACACTAGATTAGCAGGGGAGTAATTCATATTTATTCACTGGATAATTCTGAAGAAGTTTCCAACATGATGAGTGCTGAGGGGAGTCATCAGTGGAAATGATGCAGCCCTGGGCCATTCTTGGTGTGCCAATATGCTTTTCTGAACCTTTGCTGACTTGGGACTACTTTATCCATCTGAACAGGAGAACAAAAGAAAAGGAAGGAAAAAACAAACAGAAGGACTAAAAGGACCAGTAAACTGCAAAGAGCTTCTAATACTGTAGGGGGACTTTTTGTGAAATAAACAGATGGGGAAGACAGGGAAAACACAGGTCTTACAGAAAGGGAAAGGAAGCTCTAGTACCAGTGGAGGAAGAAGGGCAAAGGCATTGGTAGACTGGTTAGCTGGAAACAGTTGTTTTCCCAGGGTATATTGTTTCTATTCAGACATAGAAAGAACAGCTCAAAAGGATCTGGGTTTTCTGCTTCTTGAACTATTTTAGCACCTTGGGTTTTGAATAGAAACTCTCCCTTGCAGCTTCTCCTGAAGAAAGCTTGGTTGGAACTGTAACCTTTAACTCCTACTCAGTCTTTTTGAATGAAAACAAGTTTGTAGATAAAATCCCAAGAACTTAAGAATTCATCTGATGGGAAGCATCATAAATAAAAATTATGCGAGCTCTCACCATCTTCTGAATAGCTGGAAATAAAAATAAAAAAATGTGTAGTTATGGACATTTCTTTAAGGACATTTCTTTTAAAATTTTAAATTGGAAATTATCATCACACTTCCATCCTGAGAACAAATAGCTTTTTCTCTTTTTGATGTATAAAGTCCAATCAACCTCTCACTGAAGGGAAAATAAGAATCCATGAAATTTTATGCTGTAAGTAATACAGCACTGCTACTTCAGCTTGCTAAAGGCACAAAGATTTCGCGCACACTTACACATTTAAAAAAATAAGAATTTGCCCAAGACTAAGAAATTCCTATTTATCCAGGCCAAAGTCTGCTGCTTTGACAAGATCGACACATGGCAAGAGTGTCAGTGCAAAAGCATCCAAGAGCCTTTAAGGCACTCTGTCCTCCTCAGCAACAACCCAGCCCATAGTTCTTCAGTTCCAGGTGGTTCCTGGAGGCTCCTGAGCTGGAACTCAGCTGCTCTTGGAACAAGGCTGTTATGTTCTTTTCAGAACACACATAAAACATTGCTCTCCAAATCTCTTTGTATTTTTCCTTGCTTGCTGCTGAACTGTGATACTCCCCCACAGACTTTGTTCTCCCTTCCCTTTATCCCTGTCCTGAGTTCAGCAGTAGCAGTCATGTTTCTCCTCCTTGGTAGCTGGTGCAGTGCAGTGTTTTGACTTTCGGCTCGGGAACAGAGCTGATAGAGATGTTTTGGTTTGGCCAAGGACTTTGTGAGCCTCATGCTCTGCCAGGGAGGAGGGGAAGCTGGGAGGAAGCAGAGACAGGACACCTGACCCAAACTGACCAAAGAGCTATTCCATACCACAGCACGTCATGCCCAGGATGTAACTGGGAGTTAGCCGGAAGGGCTGGGAGACTGCAGGGTTGGAGGAGGTATCGGTCGGAGCTTGGTCGGGCTTGGGGGGCGAGTTATCGGTCAGCGGGTGGTGAGGTGTTGTATTCTGTTCCCTTGTTATTTCCTTTATCATTATTATCATTGGTGGTAGCAGTAGTGATTTGTGTTATACCTTAGTTACTAAACTGTTCTTATCTCAACCCGTGGGAGTTGCATTCTTTTGATTCTCCTCTCCGTCCCTCCGAGAGCAGGGGGAGGGCAAGAAAGGGGGGGAAAGTGAGCGAACGAATTACCTGACTGGGTTTAAACCACGACAGTTTTTTTGGCGCCCAACGTGGGGCGCGAAGGGTTGAGATAACGACAGATTTGACTGGATTAATAGTCATTCGTCACAATGACGATTTATTGGCTCTCAGAGTTGTTTCTCTTGATCTCACAGCTTCAGAATGTTGTAACTTACGTAGAGCCGGTATTTGCTGTGATAGTGTTTATCAAGTGTGGGGCCTGGGCTAAGGTTCTTGTCTCACTGTGCTTTATGGCAATGGCTTGTAATACGGGCGGGCTCCAGCAGCAGGGTGGGACGGACGTGGCCGTGGACGTGTACCTGGCCGTCCGGCTGCTCTTCACCGTCCTGGCCCTCACCCTACTCTCCATCTTCGTGAGGCTGCGGGGAGCCGAGTGGGAGCGGCCCCGGGAGCCGGCGGCAGCCGAAGCGGCTCAGGAGAGCGGCCCCAGGGACCAAGCGGCGGCGGGAGCGGGGCCGGAGGCCGCGAGGGGACGGCTGCCGGTGGAGGAGGTCGGGGCGGTCGAGGAGCAGAAGGAAGCGGCTGCCGAGCAGCGGGAGAAGGCGGCGGAGGAGCCGAGCTCCGCGGCCGAGCCGAGCCCCGCGGAGGAGCCCAGCTCCGCGACGGCCGAGAGCATTCCCCGGAAGCCGCCCGCCGAGCCCCAGGAGGATGCAGGAGACCACGCAGCATTTCCCAGCAAGGCAGAGGAGGAAGAGCTGGACTCAGGAAAAGAGAAGCCGGTGGTGGGAGAGCCGGCAAGCACAGCAGCTACACCAGCCCCAGTGACAAGCACAGCAGCATCGTTTGAGAGTTCTGAAGGTTTTGAATGGCCTTTGGGTATCCTTGGGACCTGCCTGCTGATTGTGATGGGGATCAGCATGTTGGCACACACACAGACTGTGTTCTACCCACAACCATTTTGTCTGATCTCAAAAGTTAAGCAGAGTCAGGTTTGGGTCTTGTCTGGGGTTAGACGACAATATAGGGGGACCAAGAGGTTTTCCCCAAGGCTGTACAGTCATGAGTGGCAGGGTGTGTGGGACAGTATGGGCAAGTATCTAGTCCACTGGGCCCCTCCAGTGCTTTGGAAGCATTGGAGATGGAAGGCAGCTGTGTGGAGTCCCCAGCAACAAGCTGCAGAAACTGCTGAAGGGAACAGTGAATTATTTTAAGCCTGGTGGGCCCATGGCACTTCAGGCCATCAGAGCAGAGATGCAACCCAGAGATGGACTCATGATCGAGGGGTGGACTTAACAATGGACACTATTGCCCAGGTTATTCACGAGTGTGAACACTGCACACAGTCTCTCCTGCTCTGGAAGACTGTTACAAGAGATGGAGCCTGACATGGACCAGATGGACGCAGCAGCTTTATAGGGACTGGTCCATGCACTAAGATAAGAGTGCACCGAGATAAGAGTGATGGTATATTGAAAATGTGGGATCTGAGCATGACGTGAATGGTATGGAATAAGGGGTGGATAATGTCCTGGGTTCAGCAGTAGCAGTCATGTTTCTCCTCCTTGGTAGCTGGTGCAGTGCAGTGTTTTGACTTTCGGCTCGGGAACAGAGCTGATAGAGATGTTTTGGTTTGGCCAAGGACTTTGTGAGCCTCATGCTCTGCCAGGGAGGAGGGGAAGCTGGGAGGAAGCAGAGACAGGACACCTGACCCAAACTGACCAAAGAGCTATTCCATACCACAGCACGTCATGCCCAGGATGTAACTGGGAGTTAGCCGGAAGGGCTGGGAGACTGCAGGGTTGGAGGAGGTATCGGTCGGAGCTTGGTCGGGCTTGGGGGGCGAGTTATCGGTCAGCGGGTGGTGAGGTGTTGTATTCTGTTCCCTTGTTATTTCCTTTATCATTATTATCATTGGTGGTAGCAGTAGTGATTTGTGTTATACCTTAGTTACTAAACTGTTCTTATCTCAACCCGTGGGAGTTGCATTCTTTTGATTCTCCTCTCCGTCCCTCCGAGAGCAGGGGGAGGGCAAGAAAGGGGGGGAAAGTGAGCGAACGAATTACCTGACTGGGTTTAAACCACGACAATCCCTACATTGATATTCACTATGATGTGGTTTTTACGATGTGGCTGGACATCATGCTCAAATACACTTCTAGTATAACCAGTATCCTGATACACACACAAAAAAATTCAGTCCTTCATGTCGGTATATCAATTGTATCGCTGCTAGAGATGACAGGTATTTTAGCATTTATTGCATTCCCTGCTCCAACTCCAGTGTGCATCAGAGACATCTGAAGGAGACAGTCCTGTACGCTCACAGCTGTCCAGTACTGGA